GGTCTGCTATTCTTTTAAAACGAGTGTAATTGATTATATTAAGTGACTTCTTGTTTTCACATTTATTATTTATAGTTGCTAGTGACTTTTTTTTGGGGGGGGGACTCGTATTTTTTTATTTTTCAGCAAGAAATCTTTTATTTCGTATTTACTCATTTTAGTTGATAGGTTCTTCAGATGTCTGTACTAGCCATTAAATTTTTGATTTTCCAAATTTCCACATTTTCTTTTCAACAATATACAACAATTAAATTATGGAGTGTTTGGTTTTTGGGGGGGTTTTCCCACTTTTTCAGTATCTCTTTGCAAAAGGGGAAAATTTGGTCTCCCGGCTCCTACACGGCCGATCTCGGATGTTTCCCAGGGTGAGGAGACATTCTTTTTCTGTTCTCACATGGTCACGTGACATCCACCCCATTTTGACGGTGCCTTTTTTATGATCCAATGATTACATACTGCGTCTTGATCATTTAAAAGGGGGTTTGTTGTTCGGGGTCAACGGTTGATGATGACAGTGGTCTCATAACATCCTGTCGTTTGTTTTTCCACTAAATTTAGCTATCATGGAGAAGTGTTTCTTGCTGAGGTGGTCCAACTACCTTGTTCCTGTTCCGGTCTCATGGCATGCCAATGATGACAACGTTCTCCTCACACTCCAGAAAACAACATGATGGGATGATGGGAGGTGATTTTTTTTTCTAAGGAGTAGAAAAGGGGCAAAATGTTTGAAGCAGGTGGCATAAAATTACCCATCGATCAGATAGAATGAATATCTGCATGATGCACACATGATGCGATTGCCTGGCAACCGGTTCAGAGTGTCCGCTGCCTCCTGCCCGAAGACGGCTGGGATGGGCTCGGCACACCACGCGACCCCTTCTGAGGATAAAGCGGGTCGGAAAATGGATGGATACACACATGAATTATGCTTGAATGTTGACATTGTGCTGTCCCGAATTAACTCTCTGCCAAGCGTCGACGGAGCCAATTTGAGGAAATGGCGTGAGGGTGACTCATCGGCATCGTCTCGGAAATTCTCTCGGGCGCGCACACGCAAACCTGTGTCTTCATCACGCTCTCCCCATTAAATTTCAGACAAGTCCTTGAGTTAGCCGTACTAGCACGTTCCCAATCACATATTGTGCAATTTTGGAAAAAAAAAAACTGAAACTTGTCATATTAATTAATTTGCATGTTTTTTTAGTTCAAGCCTAAAATCCAGACATTTATGTTGAATAAATCACATATTGTTTATTGGAATGAATGTGAATATTTTTTTTATTTTTATTTTTATTTTTTTTTTGCTTTTTGGTGGGGAAAAAAACTCTGCATCATATATCGCCATTGCAATAATGAGGGAGAAAAATCACAGTTTTTGAAAATCATCATAGTTTTGTAAGACACCCCCGAAGCAGTCTTTGCATCGCCACTTCTCAGGTCTACCCCATGAAGCTTAGTCGAGCCACTCAGAAGTAGAGTGGGCCAACTCCATTCTTGTGCCGGAATGAGTGGAGAGAAGTCAGGTCCTTCGGATGAATTCCCAAAATCAGACTTCAGTCGTTCCAAATTTTAACATCGGCATCACTCCTTAGTTGCATTTAGGCCTTTTCCTAATTGTCCATCACTGGAAGTCATACAATTCAAGTCCAAATCAAATCACGCCTTTTTTTCAAGTCAGTAAGTTAGCCCCAAATCAGAAAATAGTCTACTTAAATCTGACTGGAGTCAAGTTGCCAAGTTGCGTGGCTTGACTCCCCCCCCCCTCCCCCCTTAAGCTTAACAGATTTTTAACAAACATTGAAAATCTGATGGATAAAAAAATTGAAGTTGAAATTTGAGCTTACGAGGCAAAGTGGAATTGCGAAACAATGTTGGGCTCCTTCATCCGAAATGTGCTTCCTCTTCTTGTTCAGTGTTGACAGAGGAGTCAAATGCAGGCGGACGCCGTCGTCGCGCTCATGTGGCCTCTGCTCTTCGGTAAGTACAAATGGGCATTTGTTAACAATGGCATCATTTCCTGGAGATTTGTCAAGATATGCAACAGTTGCAGGATATTGTTTGATATTGTACCGCATTCATGTTACAGGGAAGAAAAAATAAAAAGAGTACTTCCCCAGTGTGTGTGTGGGTGTGTGTAAATACATATCCACACACCCACACCCAAACACACGCGCGAGTAAAATCGGATGTGCAGCATTCATGTCGTCCTGATTTTCGATCCTGCGCCCCCAAAACAGGCGCCTTGTTTGCGGGGGTGCAGGCCTCCCTGGATCCCTCCATGCCCGACCAAGTGCTCGCCGTGGTGGGCTCGTGCGTGCTCATCCCCTGCTCCTTCACGCCCTCATCAAAGAAGCGCGCAGCGGTGGACGTGCACGTGCGCCTGCGAGGTCACAGCCGGTTCTCTTTGTTCCGCCAGTCCCGCGTGGCCTTCAACAGTGAAGACACGGAGGAAGTCAGCGACGTCTTCCGGGAGCGTATGTCGCCCTCGGGTTTGGTGACGGAGGGCGACTGCTCGTTGAGGATGGATGAAGTCCGCACAGAGGACGCCGGGACCTACGAGGTGTCTCTGAAGAGGACTGGAGACTCTGCTTGGGGGAGGGCCAAGTCTTTCAGTTTGAACGTCGTGGGTGAGTGCGACGCAGCCCGTTTAGGCAGCAAATGAGTGAGGTGGGTCTGAATTAACTGCAAACATTCCCACAACAAACAACATTTACTCTCTCGGTGTTTTAGCAGCACGAATAAGAATCCCATTTCGGCATCAAAGTCCTTGGGCCTGAATTAAATCGTCCTCCGTCTTACTTGCTATTTCTATGGCAGGCCGTTGATGCCGCCCACCTGCCAAATTCACTCAAAAAGCATGAAGGTGATAGGTGTCGTCTTCCCCGGCAGACACCCCCGAGGCTCCCGTGATCAGCGGTGCATCATCGGCCGCGGATGGGCAGTTGGTCACCTTCAACTGCAGCGTCAGCTACCAGTGCCCCTCCGGGCCCCCGAGCCTGCGTTGGCAATGGGAGCGAGGAGTGCAGCCGCTGGGGGACCAGCGAGTGCGGACCCTCTACACCCAAGACCAGCGGCCGGTGCTGCAGAGCTCGCTCACCTTCAGGGTGTCGCGCCGGGTGAAGGCCAGCCTACGGTGTGAGCTCAGCTACCCGAGAGCCAATATGGTGGCCGCCTTCAAGGATCTGCATGTGACATGTAAGCAAAACTTGACGGTACGGACAGGCATGTTGTTAAGACGGTGACGAAATGTAGAATTTTATCATAATGATTAGTTTTCAAGCTTTGGGGCAGGACTAATTGTGCCCCACATTAGTTTTCACATTATTTCTCAACACATTTTTCGGGTATTTTAAAATTCTGGTTTTTTTTTGTTTGTTTTTAAACAATAGAAAATGTTATTTGTGTTTAAAAAGCTCTCAAAATGTAGCTATTATTTACATATTCTAATGTTATTTGAACAGTGACAATATGTGTAGTATTTTAATGATGAGTTTTCATTTAGTGTTGAGGCAGTGCAAGTTGCACCCCAAAAAATTCTCCTTAGCAACAAGTTGTTTGTGGTTCAGTACGAAATTGCTTCTAGCATGGTGTTCTTTTTTTTTTTTTTTTTAATTACATAACCAATACATCAATGTCCCACTCCGTAGTCCCACCCAAAGATGTGATGGTGCAAGTGCAGACCGTGACGGTGCAGGAGGGGGGCAGCGCCCTGCTGGCCTGCTCGTGCAAAGCCGACCCGCCGGTGTCCGAGTATCGCTGGTCCTACATCCAGCGCGGGCGCACGGTCCACCTTGGCCAGCGCACGCACACCATCCGCCTGTACAACGTGACGCGAGACACAGCGGTCCGCTGCATGGCCGAGAACCCGGTTGGACGGGCCCAGTCGCCGACAACCATCCTCAATGTGCAATGTAATTGCGGGCAAGTGCCCCAAAATATCTAGAACAGGGATTGGTTCAGCAGTTTTTTATGAATGTAAAATAATTGGGGGTGGGGGGCGGGGGGCTTCTCTCCTTCAGATAAGCCCGTCATCCAACGCCTCTTATCGACTTGCGTGGAGGAGGATGGGGCGCTGCGCTGCGTCTGCTCAACTCAGTCCAACCCGCCTCCCGCCATCAGCTGGAGCGTCAACGGCAGCGCTCCGCCACGCGGCTACAACGCCTCGCTCTCCACTGACGCCCTCACGGCCACCCTGTGGGGTGGCGTGGACGGGGGGCCGCAGACGGTCACCTGCTTGGCCCTCAACGCCTTCGGGAACGACTCTGCGATGCTGTTGCAGCACCGAGCAGGAGGCGGTGAGTTCAAGTAAAGGTCAGTTAGCAGGACATTGGGAAAAAAGTCTCATGAATGTGATAGCAACATATTGCGCAGAGAAGAATGCAAACCATATTCTTTGTGTTCAAATAAAACCTGTTGAAAAACGAAACTGGAAAGTTTTCTGTTTCATAAGTGGGCTTGTGTGGCTTGACCGATTGCGCCCCACGTATTCTGCCTAGCAACAGGTGACCATTTTCAACATCACCATTAAATCAAAGCCTTGTACTGCCTTCTTGTGCAGACTCTTGGCTGTCGCTGTGGTTTTGGGTTCCCGCTGCCGCTGCGCTCCTCTCTGCCATCTCCTTGGCCGTACTTGCTTGCTTCTGCTGCTACTATCGAAAGAAGTCCGGCAAGTAAGTCAAGAAGCTGAGCGCTCACTTGTTTGGGGCATGACTGTCAATTCGGGTCCGTCCGTCTATCTGTCAGGCAAATGCTCAGCAGATGTGCGTCAGGATCTGGACTGTACCAGGCCCACACGCCGGTCTACGTCAACTGCTCAGAGGTGAGCCATGTGTACACCAATGGAAGCTACCAGCTGCTCTACCAGAACTGCACGCCGCGCTTTGTGCGCACGAAGCAAGTACGTGGGCAACACTCTAGCAGTGCGGAATATTGGTTTTTTTTTCCACAAAGGACACCAAACTGCTTGAATAACGATTGAATTAAAATGCGTTGCACAAATTATTAAGAAGAAGAAATTTAGAAATATGAAACACAAGACAGTGCAAATTCCAATTCTGAACTTTGTTGGTTCCGTGAGCCTATTTGTAACTTGAAACATTCATAAATCAAGGTATACTGAGTAGAGTTGAGTCATCATCAGTCGAACCAATTCCTCATTTCATGTTTTTGATTATCTTGTAATTGTTAGGTGCGCCCGATGGGGAGAAGGGGCGGCGAGAGGAGGCGAGGAGGTCCGCGCGGAGGCGTGGGCACACATGTCACTGCCAGAGAGGTGCAAGGCGCCACTGCGGCTGACCCGGATTCAGCCATCTACGTGGAGGTCCTCTAAAACTCTCGCTGAGCGATGACGACCCCGTGACATTCCTCTGTACTCTGTTTTATTTATATGACAGACACAATGCTTTGATCCACAAAGGACACCAAACTGCTTGAATAACGATTGAATTAAAATGCGTTGCACAAATTATTAAGAAGAAGAAATTTAGAAATATGAAACACAAGACAGTGCAAATTCCAATTCTGAACTTTGTTGGTTCCGTGAGCCTATTTGTAACTTGAAACATTCATAAATCAAGGTATACTGAGTAGAGTTGAGTCATCATCAGTCGAACCAATTCCTCATTTCATGTTTTTGATTATCTTGTAATTGTTAGGTGCGCCCGATGGGGAGAAGGGGCGGCGAGAGGAGGCGAGGAGGTCCGCGCGGAGGCGTGGGCACACATGTCACTGCCAGAGAGGTGCAAGGCGCCACTGCGGCTGACCCGGATTCAGCCATCTACGTGGAGGTCCTCTAAAACTCTCGCTGAGCGATGACGACCCCGTGACATTCCTCTGTACTCTGTTTTATTTATATGACAGACACAATGCTTTGATGGCCACTTTGTCTTGTTTGATTTGATCTGGGCTGCTCGTGTGCACCCAAATGGGTTCTTGTGAAGATGTTTTATGTTCCTCAGCTGGACGTAAGCCGTAAAAAAAAGGGGAAAAAAAGCTTCATTGCATTTGCGACAAAGCGTATCACAAAGACAATTTTTTTCTGCTCGAAAACAGCCCTTGAACCCTCGTTGTGATCCTTAATCATCTGTATGTAGACTACATTTTGATCTATCGCACATACAAAGTTTTACTTTGATCTTCAAACTTTTTTTGCCCCTCTGTTGCCTCTTGTGCTTCTGTAATATATGTACAGATATGTTACCTACCAAACAAGAAAAAAACAACACTTATTAAATAGATTTAACCACAAACACAACTAAAGTGAATTAATAGTTGGTATGAATTCAAAATCAAATATTTGCATTCAATGTCTACGCATAGACTTGTAATGCGCCGTTTGACCGATTAGAGGCAGTAATTAAGATAGCGACGCGTAATTCAATGACACAAAGAAGAAAAGGCGCTTTGTGATTGGCTGGAGTTATCAGAACTCGCGTCACAATAAGACACAGGTTTTAGGTGGGAAAATGATTTCTCCACTGTGTCCGATTTTTAATCTGATTGCATATAATCCCGTTTAGAGTAAGCGCGTGTATAGTAAGTGAAAGGCAGTTTAAAATTTGATTTGAATTTCGTGTCTTTTGGGTCGTTTATCGGCAAAGGAAAAAGTTTACTCCCCATTGTTTGCTAGCTCGCTCGCAGGAGACATTCGTCACGTGATTTCTGGTTCAAAATACTATTTTCTCTTGCGGATACATGTTTATTAAGTGACGGTTAGTGTGTAACCACCTTAAAAGTGTTTATTCAATTACAAAGTGTCCGCAATGCCCGAAATCAAACTCCAGCACGTCGTGTCGTGCAGCACCGAGGACAACGTAAGTAGAATGTCTCGCTTGCGTTGTAAGAAGCTTTCATTTAACCTGGTGTGAAGTTGTGCTTTGTAAGCATGAAACATGCGTCCTCCTTGTGGCAAACATCAGACTCACAAGGCGGACAACCTCCTGAGCTCGGATACGTACAGAAAGTGGAAAGCCGCCCGAGCTGGAGAGAAGCAGACGTCAGTCATTCTTCAGGTGACATTTTCGTCCCGCCTCTTCGCGACGAAACGTGCCCTGTCACACTGCGAATGATGGGAATGAGATGCAAATATTTGGGGGGAATGAGGTGGCGCTTTTCGATCTCATTTCATGGAGACGTCTACTAAAGATGACATTACGCCTTTGCATAAATGAACCGCCTGAGTGGCAGAAATATTTTCACTGCGAATGTCAACTTTATGCTTGCCATACCAAGTGGAAATAAATGAAAGTCAAATATCAACTCAACACTGTCATGACTTTGCAGGTTCACAGATGATTGTCATTAATTTCTCCATTCTGGCATTTCTAGTTCGAGAAGGAGGAACAAGTACACAGCGTCGACATTGGAAATGAAGGCTCGGCGTTCGTGGAGGTACTGGTGGGGAACTCTTCCTCTGTCAGAGATCAGGACTATGAGGTACCACCCAAACCGCATCTCCTCTTGCCCTCATTGACTTTTCACACATTGCCAACTTTAAACCCACTCTGCTGTGTTTTGGGCCTCTCAGGTGCTGTTGGTCACATCGTCCTTCATGTCGCCCACGGAAAGTCGTAACGGCACCAACATGAACAGGGTGCGCTTCTTCGGACCCGGACAGCTGCAGAAGAGCACGGCGCAGGAGAAGTGGGACCGGGTGAAAATTGTCTGCAGCCAGCCTTACAGTAAAGTAAGGCTATCAATAAGCAGAGAGTGATCAAACCGTATGCCCATGACACAAACTAGCATGTGCCAGAAGTGCTAAAAAAAATTTTTGGGGTAGCATTCATGCTCATCTTCAGCTAGGAAAGTTGGTTCTGAATCTGTCGAAATCACTTGAGGTTGACAAGAGTCGCTGAGATGAAAATTGAAAACTGGCTCCATCCACACTATAACCTCAATTATTTATTTATATCGAGAGAGAATAGTGGTGGGACTGAGGTGTAGCCCTGAGGAACTCAATGACAAAATATTGATCCGTTAGGATAGAAGTTCACAGACCAATCCAACAAGCTTGTGAAACACAAAATAACCCGCGGAAGTGTTTCAAAATATAAACATCAAGAACCGGGCCATCCGATGAACACAAAATGGATCATGCACCAAAATTAATATGAACCTATGATGCGAAACACCAGTAGTGGGCCATTTTATTTTGAAGTTGCCCTAAGAAACACAAAACATGGAGGAGTATGAGAACTTAACACTCAGCAGCTACGTGTCTGATTGACTCGTATCTGTACAAATATATATATAGAGAGAGAGAGAGAGAGAGAGATGTATGTATCGGCCAATGAATTGGTTATTGTAATTTTTGTCTGCCTAGTAACGGAATCGTCATCAGCCTCAAAAAATCCATATTGGTCGGTCCCTAGTACAAACTCTTGAAGAATCGGCATATTTGCGACCAAATATGAGCCCAGTACACTTGTCCAACCTAATTGTTATCATTTCAAATATAATCTACACATGTCTTTGCCTCTTTTAGAACATCGCATATGGCCTGGCCTTCGTCAAATTCCACTCGCCTCCGGACAAGAATGACCCTCCAGTGACATCCCCAGTAAGCCCACTTGCACTGTTGTTTTTTTTTCCAACCTCCGTTTTGTTTTGCCCTTAATTTTTATTTTGATTTTTTTGTTTGTTTGTTTGTTTTTTGTTTGCTCCTTCTCTCTCCATGAGCAGAAATTGACCAAGCTGGGTCAGTTCCGGGTGAAGGACGACGCTCCTGCCTCAGGCTCCAGCATCCAGCCCGGCAGTCTCTTCTTCAGCGCCAAGTCCAGTCCTTCCCCCAAAGGCAAATACATTCATCGGCTCGCCCTGTACAACGCGTTGAGCTTAAAATCAAGCATACCAGCTTTTATCCGTCCGTCCATCATCCGAGCCGCTGATCCTCTAGCAGTAGACGAGAAGGATATTCAAGATGGTTGAAAGGAAGCCAATACTGGCAGGGCGGAAGGAAACAATGACATCACATCCAACATGTCACATCATCCTGACATCAACAACAAGGTGTGTATGCATTTATTTTGTCCTCATCCCGTGCTTTTTTTCCTCCCCCACTCCTGTAGCGTCCCCACAGAGTAACAAATTGAGCTACGCTGCCGCTGCCTTGCAAGCTGCCGGGCCCGCCGCCCCAGCATCTACTCCTCCATCATCCTCCACCTCGCCACAGGTACTAATCTTCATCCTCCGTCTGAGGACACCCAGCGACCATTAGAGCCTACATAACACAATCCAACTTTAGCAAATCTCTCGTTTTGCAAAGCCTTTTCGAAGGCAATGGCGACATGTCGATTTTCGATTCGCAGTTGCCGGGCAACCGTTTGAGTCCGGGAGCTCAATAATAGGAAAGTCTTGACTTCACAAACATGTTTGACTGCTTTTGTTCATGTTCACTTTTCAGAAGAAAGCTTAAAGGGCACAAAATTAGATTCTTTTTTTTTTTTTTTGTGTTGAAATATGTTATTCACCCCAGTGATAGGCGCTACATAGTTTGCGCCAAGTGATCACCTAAGGGGCAGCCAATTCCTTCAGCCAGCCCCTTTAATCAGCTGACATTAGCGCTCTCAAAATAAGTATTTGTCTGTTTGTTTTATACACATTAACACCTTGCAATGTAAGTCAAGGAGAAATGTTTGCCTCATAACCCCTCCCAGGAAATAGGCAAAAAAAAAACCTCGGCAATTTTACAGTCAGTAAAGTTAAATGCTAATACAGTGTGTGTGTGTGTGATAAGCAGTGGGAGTGTGTGTGTGTGTGGGGGGGGGGGGGGGGGTTTTTTGGGTGAAATTGACCAAGCTGGGTCAGTTCCGGGTGAAGGACGACGCTCCTGCCTCAGGCTCCAGCATCCAGCCCGGCAGTCTCTTCTTCAGCGCCAAGTCCAGTCCTTCCCCCAAAGGCAAATACATTCATCGGCTCGCCCTGTACAACGCGTTGAGCTTAAAATCAAGCATACCAGCTTTTATCCGTCCGTCCATCATCCGAGCCGCTGATCCTCTAGCAGTAGACGAGAAGGATATTCAAGATGGTTGAAAGGAAGCCAATACTGGCAGGGCGGAAGGAAACAATGACATCACATCCAACATGTCACATCATCCTGACATCAACAACAAGGTGTGTATGCATTTATTTTGTCCTCATCCCGTGCTTTTTTTCCTCCCCCACTCCTGTAGCGTCCCCACAGAGTAACAAATTGAGCTACGCTGCCGCTGCCTTGCAAGCTGCCGGGCCCGCCGCCCCAGCATCTACTCCTCCATCATCCTCCACCTCGCCACAGGTACTAATCTTCATCCTCCGTCTGAGGACACCCAGCGACCATTAGAGCCTACATAACACAATCCAACTTTAGCAAATCTCTCGTTTTGCAAAGCCTTTTCGAAGGCAATGGCGACATGTCGATTTTCGA